CTGGGGGCAAGGAAAAAGAAAAATTCAAGGAAAGGCAGCATGATGGTGAGAATGAGTGATGCAAAACTGATCCTTATCCAAAAACTTTTCAGTGTATTGCAAGGAACCAACTGCTGCAACCTGTATTACTTATTGTACTAAGAGAAGACATACATAAGTGATTTTTAGGTGAGAAGTTCTAATCAGTCTAGCTCCATTTAAGCTCTTATTTTTTCCCCTGCAAAATAGGAGTAGGGAAGTAGAGAATAAGCTGAAATAGCTGATTTGTGAATAGAAATTACAGGCACACATGTGATTGCCGGCAGAGATATACTGAATAACCTTGAAAAAGGTATCTTATATCCAAGCTGAGAGATGCAATTTTAGTTCCTAAAGTGTAGACTTCTGACACAACTGGTTGACAGACATGACTGACATTTTTGTTGCATATTTGACTGATCTGTCTCTGTAGTTCTTTGTCCAGTCTTCTGAGGTTTGACTGTGGTCTGTGAGCTCTGTTGCAGAGGGTATATAGGCATTTGTTTGGTTAGGTCCTTCCAAGACTTCTGCTTTCAGTGAAAAGCTCAAATAGGTAATAAAGTGTTATCTATGCTAATTCCATGGTGTGTTAAACATAAATTATCGCAAATTTGTCTGTTAATTTGCATAAATAGCTTTATGATATGCTATGCAGAGGCATTCATTTGAACTTTTTCCACAGAAATAATGTTTTCCACAGAAGCTGTCTCAGTCATCTTAATTTAATAAAATTTATTATGACTTCTCAGTCTCATATTGGCACTTTAGTTGAAGAGATAAAACTGTATTACCATCCCAAAACTGCTGAAGACTGTATGAAATCTCAGCTCATTACTTACTATTAAGAGGTCAAACTTTTCTATGTTTAATACCTGAAAGACAAAGATAAGGAGTTTCTGAACAGTTCAGGAAGAGTGGTCCTAAGTCTTTTAATTAAATCAGTCTGCAATGGGTATATCCTCCAGAAGCTGCCTGGGAGGGCTTCCACAGGTTAGCAACTGAACTAACTTAATTTATATGGAGGCAAAGAAAGGCAGCGAAGCAGCAGAGAACTCTGTGAAACCAATTGGCAGCGAGCCATCTGTTAAGCAACCACAACTACGTCAAAGATCTCTAAAAATATATCAGTTGGTTTGGGAACATAATGCCCTAACTCCAATAAAAAGGCACTTTGGAAACAATCAGAAATGTGTTTTAAAATAAATTGTGTTTATTCATATAGCGATGAAATACAAGAAGTACTGCTCTCATAGACATTGTTTCGTTCTGTGAACTAATTATTTAATTGTTAGTCTCTATTTTTTCTCTCTGGAGCAGAAACTACTGGTTTATTTCAGTCCCATTGTCTCTCTCCCTGGTTCCTCCAGAGCCTGACACTTCTGTCATGTCCTGTTTTCTTTTATGCTTCTCCTGACTTTCTCCCTCATGTATTGTCCGTACAAGCCACCTTGTGCAGTCTTCTTGCCACCCCTCTCGCTTCATTCACTTGCCCTCACTCTACTCGCATCCCTGCCCTTATGACAATCCTGCTGCTTGGATTTCCTCTCTGCTATTCTGCCTTTCTACTTAGGCTTCCTTCTTCCCACATTCCCTTCTCCTTTCTAAACTACAAACCTCTCCTTTCTTTACAACCTCCACACTGTCCTTTCTGTACTTCTGTCTCTCTCCCAAACTCTTGCTTTTACCCTCAAATGCTTCCGCTGCTGTGGAACCCCTCTCTTCCACCTCCATCTTGTACTTATCTGTCGTCTTTGCACTACCACCTTATAGGGCAGAAACTGGGACACTTCCTTGCTGTCTTTTTAGTATTTTATATAAATTTACTCCAGTATTGTCCACATCCTTTTTGTATAGTCATCAGCCTCAGGTTTGAGAAATCAGTGTATCGCATCAGTCTCAATGAAGGCATCAGTGTGGCAGCTCCATATGAAATCTCAGCATCATTTTTTCCTGCTTCTGCCCACATAGTAGTGTCGTTATCGCTGTTGGAAGAGAGCGAGGGGCTTTCTCACAGGGCCTTGATTTGTGATTCATTTTGTGCCAACACTATGGCCGCCTGCAGCAGGCAAAAGCTGGCTGATGGTGAGACTACCAAGAAAAAATTGCCAATGAAACAAAGTTTAACAATCTTAATTCAGCCCTTCTAGAGTCTGGTAAAATGTGGAAGTGCTGAGTCACTAATTCTTTAATAGTTTGCATGCAGGTAGGTGTTGGTACCAGACAGTAAACCCCTGAGCTGAACAGAGATGAAAATCTCGTTTTGCCATCTCTCTCTCACCCTTCTTTCAAACGTGAAAGAAGTATTGGAAAACCTGGCCACCAGCACTTCAGTACATTGTTAGGTGAAACGAAGGGTTGTTACAGATAGACACAAAGTATCTGCAAATCACTGCAGCAGTGCTAATGTCATTCATATATGTAAAGCTAATTAAGAGTGTGCTTCCCAGTGTGACGGTGATTTCAGTTCCTGTACATTGCACAGTTTAGGTTGTGTTATTTGAGGACATCCCAAGAGTGGACTTTGCAGTGCCCAATTTCAATAGCAGATGTCACTGTAAAGTTGTTTACTTAGCAGCAGCCTTTTTTGGTTACTTCCAAACAGTCAGGCTGCAAATATGAAAACGGGAAGCATTCCCCTGTTTGTAGAAGTCTGCCTGCAGTAAAAAATATAAGCATATATATTTTGAAACAAGTATTTTTAGAAACTTCTATTGAGGGCTCTACTGCTGTTTGGGCTTTCTGCCCTTTCAGATTTTGTTGCTTAGTCTATACATTTTTAATAATCACATTGCCTGCTAGCAGTGACATTTTGTGAAGGTCATTTTTCTTGTGAAGTTGGAGAATGGACTTGAATTTCATTGAAGGACTCCCCAAGCTGCAGGATCGTTGTTCATTGCATCTTGTACTACCTTTGAAGCCTGTTTAGAATTTTAACTAATGATATCTTCAAAGTGTCACTGTGCTCAAGGGCAAAAAAGAAATCTCAAAATGCATTTTATATTTAAAACCAGTTTTGAATAGCTTTGAAGCACGGTATTAGCTGAAATAAAAGGCATAGATACAGACTTACTATGTATGCACACACAGAGAATTACATGTTTCACCAACTTTTTCATTGTCAGCAAACTGTCCCTTCAGCATTGCAGTGCCTTTTTCTTCTATACTATAAAAATCATCAGGTCTGTGGATAGTCTTTAAGAATTTTTAGTGTGATTGAGAATTTAATATCTCAGTAGGTATCTTTAGGCAGTCTCCCTCAGTGGAGCAGTTTTAGTTTTGTCTACATCATTCCTAGCCTGCTGCTTCTCATTTCGCCTGTGTAGAAATACAGACACTGGGTTGTATTTATATGCCTTTTCTGTTTCTGAGTAGAGGATGGCAGATACTAAAACCAACATGCTATGCTTGAAATAAAAGACTGTAGTGTCAGCTACTGAACTAAAACTGCTTCGTTTTGTATAAACCAAACCTGCTTCCCCACAACTGAGCACATACCAAGCTTGCTTATTAATAAAAGGTCTGAAGGCTTACTTGGTAGCTGTGTCTGATGTCTTCTGGTACTGACGTATGCCTTTGAAACATGCTAAATGTTAATGGCAATGTTGGAGAATATGGCCACTTGAATATCTGTACTGTTCAGGGAATTTTTTTTGTTTGTTTTGTTTATTGCTTCTTGGAGGTGTTTTAGCTATATAGCTAGTATAGGACTCCTGGATGCTTCTCATAGGGATGTTGTTGGGTTAATTATGTCATTTTCCTTCTCTATGACTTTGTTTTGCTATTTGCAAAGTAGGAGCTTACAAAAGTACAAGGATGTGATTTATAATTTAATCTTTCCCATGAAATAATTTGTCTGGTTTTCTTCCATTTTGTTCTTTTGCTATATCAAACTGCCAAGAAAATTTAGCTTATTCAGAGTGTCCGTATAATTTAAGATGTGCTTTTCTATTTCTATTTTGATAGCTGGACCATCAAAGCATTGTAGCTTGGCTGGATGTTTTACAATGGATTTCACAGTTTTATGAGCATTGCTAATATTTTAGTTATGCCAATTAACTTAGAACCTTGTTTCAGAACGTGAAACAAGGTGATCCACTGAACAACAACTACTGTGAAGGAAATGAAGAGAGAGGCAGTTCTGTAACCTGCCTTTGAGATGTTATGTCCTAACTAAAGTTAGAGGTTGGGTGACTGGACGGGTTGTGCGTTTGAGAAAATTTGTGTTAGGAATTAAGGACAGAAGGTTGTGCATGTCCCAGAAAAATAATTATCCATCTGATTCACTGTGTAGAAGAAGGACTAAAAAGACAAGAATTTCCAGACTCTGCTTCCAGGCTTCTCGATGCCCACTGCATATGGACTGCTTGTGAATAAAAGCCACCAGCCTGTTTGGAACCGCTGTTTTGCTGACATGATCAAAAGGGAAGGCCTCAGCTTCTGGCCATTATCATTACCATTTTACTGTTTTCCTGCCTGCCTGCTACATGGGCTTCCCTTTGCAATTTTTTTTTTTCCTGTCTTCTGCGCAGACTGATTCACCCTTCTCATGCCTGGGAAAATCTCAACGGGAAAAAGCACATGAGATTGATGGGGAAGAGAAGGCAGTTACATTTGGTCTTGTCTTTGCTTATTCCCAAACATTCTTTCCTTTCTGCTAGAGGGAGTTGTAGTTATCTATGTGGTGTTGGTTAACATTTCCTATAGATACATATATATACGGTCCTGACTTTTAATGTTTTCTATAGGAGTCTTTACAGTACAGCTAACA